GCTCGTAAAGATGCAAAAAGGGGTCATTTTCATATAGAGACAAGACTGGAATATTAGCAATATATAAGCGTCACCGGAGTGCTGGCGAGTCTTGAACACACTCTATATTCCTTTCGATTGTTATTTTGCTTAGAATCGTAGCTTGTTTTTACACACCTGCTGCGGAACACACGTTTGGGACTGAAATGTAGCGAAGTTAAACATCGTTCACTGATGAAGAAAAATGCGCTAACCAAAGCAATTACACCTTTACAGTGTTAATCAAGGTACGTACTATTCGGTACGACCCAAATGACCAACGTGTTCCGTGTTATTTTAATTTTAAAATAAACACCGAAAAAAGTACGCCCAATTATGAAAAAATAGAAACCGAAAACGCGGAACCCTAAACATAACCCACGTCGGCCACCGCAGCTTAACAAAACCAACCTCGACAACGAGCGAACCCGTTGGGGACCAAGAAAGGAAAACGACGGGAAGAACGGAGATTAAAAGCGGCAGCACACTCCACTCTCCCTTAGAGTTCCTGTATATCGCTACCTACGGGGAGCATATCAAGGAACTCTACTCTCCCTGACCGTACCGACACTTAAAGTGGTCCGAAAAGAAAATCATCAAAAGAAAGAGAAAAAAATAAAGAAGAAACGCCCAGCGCCGCGAATTCGCGACATACCGAATACACGCCACACCCTGGTTTACGCGTAGAGCTTCACAGCGAGTTTCGGTTCAAAAATGCTCCCTGCAGGTGGCACGTTCGAAACGGGGGCCAGAGTTGCGCGTCTGTTTTCCACGTGCCGCCGCGCCGCTATTCACCGAGATCCGATCACGTGAGGAGCCGGATCAAGTGCCGTGCAGGAAAGTAGACGTTGCACGCGCTCCGCGTACGTACGTACCCTGCTTTTGAGCACGCAGCGCGCCTCGACGCGCGGCGGCGCTATTCGCCGAATTCAGTAACGTGAGGAGCAGGATCAACGTGCGGTGCAGGAAAGACGGAGCTACGGGGATGAACGCGCAACTCTAAAACACCCCGTTCACACGATGCGTTTTTCTCGCGCATCTAGTGTCGCGAAACGTAGTTTCGCGAAATTGTTGCGCCGTCTGAACGAGTCCGAAAAAGACGCGCGCATCTAAAAAAAGTTGCGCGCACACCTCGCTTCTGGAGCGAGCTTTCGCTGAAACTTCGCCGAGTCCTGTCAATCACTCTGAGGGCGCCGCCAATGGCCGCTCAGAAACGCTCTCACGTGGCATTTGAGGGGGGAGCGAGCTGTTTGAGAAGACCACTTCACTGCCGGTGTTGTAGCCGAGCCAAATCCGAAAAAAAAAAAACCGAAACCACGAACGATGGATACTGCCGGCGCTTCCGCAAGCACGTCAAGCACCACTGAAGGAAAAGTGAGTAGCATATCGGAAAAAAATCCAGCGATGGACGAAGACGTAATTGGTGATGATGATAATTCGCGTCTATTTTTAGTCATAATTAAGAAATAAAACCTTGAGACAAGGAAACAAAAAGGGACGTACACAGTACCGTCTCAAAACCAGCACAGCGTAGTGCTCTCATTTACTTCCACAACAGTCTTCTTTGTCAACCTCCATCCAAATTATACATATTCAACAGTGAATAAAGTAAATGGCAGTAAATGACAATTCAACTAGTAAATGACAATTTAAGAGTAAATTAAGTAAATGGAAGTAAATGATAGCTGAATGCAGTGCTGGTTTTAAGACGGTGGTGTGTATGTCCCTTTTTGTTTCCTTGTCTTAAGGTTTTATTTCTTAATTATGATTGTACACCAGCTCGCCTGCGTTATGACTTAGAATGTGGCGGGAGATGGAGAACACGACGGTGAATGGCTAATGGTGATGATGGTGATGTTGGCTTTCAACTGAAGCGCCACTTTATGGTCAACACCCAAACTATTTTCGCGAGTCTAAACGTCATCGTTGTTGCACGTGAAGCGGTACGTGTGAACGAGCACATTTCGCGAAACTTGAGTGTCGCGAAACTGTTGCGCGCCTAAAAGATGCATCATGTGAGCAGACCTTTAGAGTGCCTTCATACACACGCGTTTTCGCTTGAGTGGTGATATCTCAGCCATTTTTCCGCCCAATCGTTTTTTTACGCATTTTGAAGTGCGCGCAATCCGGTGTCACTCAGCTCGAGCGCGTAGCTCTGGCTAATGCATAAACGCGATTTTACCGCCCAAGTCACCCACCTAGTGCGCGAGAGCGTCACGCGCTTGCACACTCAGGGCAACAATGGATGTCTTCACCCTGAGACAGACATACATGTAGGCACCCTAAACACACTGGCATTCTGGCGCCATCTATGCGGTGACCCTGGAACTGCATTTCAAGAGCGAAGGTTTTGCGGGATTTCGGAGGTCAAACGTGCGTAATACCTATCAGCCAACACGCGGCCCTGACGTCACGCAGCTGCGGTGGCACTGTCGACGGCACTGCGCATGCGCAGACGCTTCACTTCACGCGAATTCGGTTTCTGCGCATACGCAGTGTCCACACCTGCTGAGGGCAAATGCGGGCTTGTTTGCAAACAGCGTGTCGGCCTATAAGAAAGGCTCGTTTATAACGTTGACAAAAGTTTTTCGAGCCAAGAAAGAAAGGATAATGCGCGAGAGAAATAGAAAACAAATTACACCATCTTCCCGAGGGGAACCATGGGGTGATGCGGAGCATCGCGGATCGTTATAACGGTGTTAACACGCGGCTTCCCGTTCTCGAAGGTCGGGTTGCGCCGCTCGCTTCGTACGTTTACGTTGAACTTCACGGTCCCGAACCTCAGGTTCTGCTGCCCGACGTACACGAACCAACGCGGCTTCCCGTTCTTGAAGGTCGGGTTCCGCCGCTCGATCCCTTCGTACGTTTATGTTGAACTTCACGGTCCCGAACCTCAGGTTCTGCTGCTCGACGTTCTCGAACCGCCGCTGCTTCACGTTGTCGTAGTTCAGGATCCGCCGCTCGACGTTGACGAATGGACGCCGCTTCTCGTGAACTGAACGCTCGCAGCGCGCTACCGCTGCTTATATTCACACTTGAAGGAGAGGAGACTAAAGGAGGAGAGTTGCGCATGGGCGCGCGGTGTGAGTAGAAGCGAACGCACGCGAAGTGCACGCAGCTGGTAGAGGGAGAGAGAGCGGAGAGAGTAACACGCAGCTGTTGGAGAGAGTACTTAATGGACCTTTTCCGAGAAGCGTTCTGCGCACGCGCGAGCGCCCGATGCCAAGCGGCGGAAGTCGGAACGAAAAATCGAGGAAATTCGGAATGAGCCTGTGGATAAGCGGGTAGAACAGGTAATTGCAGCATATATAAAATTGGGTTACACAAAAAAAGAAAGTGGACGGAAGGAAAAACACAACGATTAGGTGGACGCCACGGATGCCCATCTTTAAGCTCGCGTTGGGCACGCGACGCAGCTCGGAGAGCGAAGAAACTGGTAGCGTAGCTGATATCGATTGGTAGCGCAGGTAGGTCACTTCCTCGATTTTTTGTTCGTGCAGCCGCCGCCTGGTGCCGTCGGTATGTGGAAAAGGTCCATTGGACTGTTGCGATGGCAGGGTTGTGCGGTCCAATCGACAAGGACCGCACATCCATGTCAACGTAAACAAAAGTCTCGTTAAAAAAAAAAGTGAAAGCCGTTTACAACTCCCTGTAACGCCGAATTGGAGCGCAGCTCTTGAGGAGGAGGAGGGAAGGGTACTGAGGGGAGGGTAGACATCTCCTCCTCCTTCTCCTCCTCCTCCCCTCATTCTTTAATATGCTCCGGGGGGGTCACCTGACCTCGGGGGGAGGGGGTCACGTGACCTCGGAGGGGGGAGGGGGTCACGTGACCTCGGGGAGGGGGGCCACTTGACCTGGGGGGCAACGTGATCTCGGGGGTCACGTGACCTACGGGGTCACGTGCCCTTGAGGTGACCTTTAGAGGGGTCACGTGACCTTGGGGTGACCTTGGTTACGCCGACGGCGACGGCGACGGCGACGCCGACGCCGCTCAAGCCGGAAACGGGCGCCTAAGAGCTGCGCTCTAAAAAAATCTCGGACAACACTGGAGCAATTCACGACCCTGTTTTTGAATAAAAAGAGAACCATCAAAGTCTACGGCAGTGGACTCTAAATGAAACTCCAGAATGCTGATAAGACTATCTACAACAATACCAGTGGCAGACTGCAACTTCACTAGATTATCATCACACCACCTCTTGACCCTTTTAACAGCTCCGACTTATGCATAGAGTAACATAAGTCCTTAATTGATGTCTACAGTTTCACATCGCACTTTCTCCCATGATGCGGATTCAATATTTCAATCAATTGCTCAGAGTTTTTGAGTGACATTGGACTGTTGCTCCACTCCTGTCAGGCATTTCGAGATAAAAACCGATAACACCTTCTGCCAAGCTCAATTTTCGTTCACAACGATCTTAACAATTACACCAGGATGGGATTGTTACAGTTGTGCTCAAGGTATCAAGAACGTACGTTTAATCCGGCTCCTATGACAAAACCGGTTGTAAAGAATGTTGTGTGTGTGCCTTACTACCTTGGAATCTCTCATAACTTTATATCAGTGGCAGAGAGGTTCGGTGTAAATTTAGTTTTCAAAGCTCAGCACGAATTAGAAAGGTTAACCTCCTTTTCAGGTGGTCCTCAGGGGTGCCAGAAAAAAACACGTCTACAACACGTGCCGGAACTATTAATGGCGTCCGCCTCAATTATCTCTCTAACAGTCTTATCATTGTGCCTAGCGAGAACAGTTGAAGAAGCAAATAATGGTTTGCACCTGCAATCATGCGTGATTTCAATGGACCTTTTCCATATACCGACGGCACCAGGCGGTGGCTGCGCGAACTAAAAAATCGAGGAAGTGACCTGCGCTACCAATCAATAATGGGAGCTACGTTACCAGTTGCTTCGCTCTCTGAGCAGCGTCGCGTGCCCAATGCAACGAGGTAGGCCTAGCGCAACGTTGGCCTAGCGCGACTTTAAAGAAGGAAATCGAGGAACTTCAGGCGCCGGAACTTCCCCTTTAGGCGCCCGAAGGCCCTTTCAATGACCGAGCGTGCTGCGCTCAGTATGTTATTGAATTTTACTTGCTGGGGAGTAAGTCTGCCATCATCTCTATATGGTTTCATAAGGAATATTTTCAGTGGATACGCCGAGTCACCAAGAACATGCTTGTCTTCAGGAAGGCAAACGAGAAAGTCCTCGAGGCCAGACATGGCGTACACACGGCCATCGTGCATCCTGCCTGGTTTCCCTACACAGATGTGTGAAAAACACATGTCTTGATCACAACAGGCTTGCAAGATAACTGAGTGCACGTCATGCCTGTTGTAGAAGGCAGATTGGTCATCTTTTGGTGCTTTAATGTTTATGTGGCACCCATCCACAGCACCAACTACACCTGGAAATCTCCAGCGTGTCCTGAAGCTTCTTTCGACCCCATCAATGTCAGTGGGCCAGACAACCTCTCCTTGGGCACAATCTGTCCAAAGACAGATCATCTGCTCCACGACAAAGAATAATGTGCCTTTATTCACACCGAAGCGATCAGCAACACCCCTGTAAGACTCCTGGTTGCCAAGGAGCCAAAGCGTCATCAACATCTTTGTCTTCAACGGGATCCTGAAGGTGTTTTCGCTCACTTTCCGTCGCGTAACATCATACAGGAGCTGTATAAAGGAATATCAATACTTGAACCAAAACAGAGTAAAAATATTTGCTATTTTATTCCTTCTTCGTGACTTGCAGACATGCCATCACACTGGGGTCGGAGATAGTTTCATGCGGGCACGTAGAAGATACGAGAGGAGAAATACCGACACTTGAACCAAAACAGAGTAAAAATTTTTGCTGTTTTATTCCTTCTTCGTGACTTGCAGACATGCCATCAAGCTGGGGTCGGAGATAGTTTCATGCGGGCACGTAGAAGATACGAGAGGAGAAATACCGACACTTGAACCAAAACAGAGTAAACATTTTTGCTGTTTTATTCCTTCTTCGTGACTTGCAGACATGCCATCAAGCTGGGGTCGGAGATAGTTTCATGCGGGCACGTAGAAGATACGAGAGGAGAAATACCGACACTTGAACCAAAACAGAGTAAAAATTTTTGCTATTTTATTCCTTCTTCGTGACTTGCAGACATGCCATCACACTAGGGTCGGAGATAGTTTCATGCGGGCACGTAGAAGGTACGAGAGGAGAAATACCGACACTTGAACCAAAACAGAGTAAAAATTTTTGCTATTTTATTCCTTCTTCGTGACTTGCAGACATGCCATCACACTAGGGTCGGAGATAGTTTCATGCGGGCACGTAGAAGGTACGAGAGGAGAAATACCGACACTTGAACCAAAACAGAGTAAAAATTTTTGCTATTTTATTCCTTCTTCGTGACTTGCAGACATGCCATCACAGTGGGGTCAGAGATAGTTTCATGCGGGCACGTAGAAGATACGAGAGGAGAAATACCGACACTTGAACCAAAACAGAGTAAAAATTTTTGCTATTTTATTCCTTCTTCGTGACTTGCAGACATGCCATCACACTAGGGTCGGAGATAGTTTCATGCGGGCACGTAGAAGGTACGAGAGGAGAAATACCGACACTTGAACCAAAACAGAGTAAAAATTTTTGCTATTTTATTCCTTCTTCGTGACTTGCAGACATGCCATCACACTAGGGTCGGAGATAGTTTCATGCGGGCACGTAGAAGATACGAGAGGAGAAATACCGACACTTGAACCAAAACAGAGTAAAAATTTTTGCTATTTTATTCCTTCTTCGTGACTTGCAGACATGCCATCACAGTGGGGTCAGAGATAGTTTCATGCGGGCACGTAGAAGATACGAGAGGAGAAATACCGACACTTGAACCAAAACAGAGTAAAAATTTTTGCTATTTTATTCCTTCTTCGTGACTTGCAGACATGCCATCACACTGGGGTCGGAGATAGTTTCATGCGGGCACGTAGAAGATACGAGAGGAGAAATACCGACACTTGAACCAAAACAAAGTAAAAATTTTTGCTATTTTATTCCTTCTTCGTGACTTGCAGACATGCCATCACACTAGGGTCGGAGATAGTTTCATGCGGGCACGTAGAAGGTACGAGAGGAGAAATACCGACACTTGAACCAAAACAGAGTAAAATTTTTGCTATTTTATTCCTTCTTCGTGACTTGCAGACATGCCATCACAGTGGGGTCAGAGATAGTTTCATGCGGGCACGTAGAAGATACGAGAGGAGAAATACCGACACTTGAACCAAAACAGAGTAAAAATTTTTGCTATTTTATTCCTTCTTCGTGACTTGCAGACATGCCATCACACTGGGGTCGGAGATAGTTTCATGCGGGCACGTAGAAGATACGAGAGGAGAAATACCGACACTTGAACCAAAACAGAGTAAAAATTTTTGCTATTTTATTCCTTCTTCGTGACTTGCAGACATGCCATCACACTAGGGTCGGAGATAGTTTCATGCGGGCACGTAGAAGGTACGAGAGGAGAAATACCGACACTTGAACCAAAACAGAGTAAAAATTTTTGCTATTTTATTCCTTCTTCGTGACTTGCAGACATGCCATCACAGTGGGGTCAGAGATAGTTTCATGCGGGCACGTAGAAGATACGAGAGGAGAAATACCGACACTTGAACCAAAACAGAGTAAAAAATTTTGCTATTTTATTCCTTCTTCGTGACTTGCAGACATGCCATCACACTGGGGTCGGAGATAGTTTCATGCGGGCACGTAGAAGATACGAGAGGAGAAATGCCGACACTTGAACCAAACCAGAGTAAAAATTTTTGCTATTTTATTCCTTCTTCGTGACTTGCAGACATGCCATCACAGTGGGGTCAGAGATAGTTTCATGCGGGCACGTAGAAGATACGAGAGGAGAAATACCGACACTTGAACCAAAACAGAGTAAAAATTTTTGCTATTTTATTCCTTCTTCGTGACTTGCAGACATGCCATCACAGTGGGGTCAGAGATAGTTTCATGCGGGCACGTAGAAGATACGAGAGGAGAAATACCGACACTTGAACCAAAACAGAGTAAAAATTTTTGCTATTTTATTCCTTCTTCGTGACTTGCAGACATGCCATCACAGTGGGGTCAGAGATAGTTTCATGCGGGCACGTAGAAGATACGAGAGGAGAAATACCGACACTTGAACCAAAACAGAGTAAAAATTTTTGCTATTTTATTCCTTCTTCGTGACTTGCAGACATGCCATCACAGTGGGGTCAGAGATAGTTTCATGCGGGCACGTAGAAGATACGAGAGGAGAAATACCGACACTTGAACCAAAACAGAGTAAAAATTTTTGCTATTTTATTCCTTCTTCGTGACTTGCAGACATGCCATCACAGTGGGGTCAGAGATAGTTTCATGCGGGCACGTAGAAGATACGAGAGGAGAAATACCGACACTTGAACCAAAACAGAGTAAAAATTTTTGCTATTTTATTCCTTCTTCGTGACTTGCAGACATGCCATCACACTAGGGTCGGAGATAGTTTCATGCGGGCACGTAGAAGGTACGAGAGGAGAAATACCGACACTTGAACCAAAACAGAGTAAAAATTTTTGCTATTTTATTCCTTCTTCGTGACTTGCAGACATGCCATCACAGTGGGGTCAGAGATAGTTTCATGCGGGCACGTAGAAGATACGAGAGGAGAAATACCGACACTTGAACCAAAACAGAGTAAAAAATTTTGCTATTTTATTCCTTCTTCGTGACTTGCAGACATGCCATCACACTGGGGTCGGAGATAGTTTCATGCGGGCACGTAGAAGATACGAGAGGAGAAATACCGACACTTGAACCAAAACAGAGTAAAAATTTTTGCTATTTTATTCCTTCTTCGTGACTTGCAGACATGCCATCACAGTGGAGTCAGAGATAGTTTCATGCGGGCACGTAGAAGATACGAGAGGAGAAATACCGACACTTGAACCAAAACAGAGTAAAAATTTTTGCTATTTTATTCCTTCTTCGTGACTTGCAGACATGCCATCACAGTGGGGTCAGAGATAGTTTCATGCGGGCACGTAGAAGATACGAGAGGAGAAATACCGACACTTGAACCAAAACAGAGTAAAAATTTTTGCTATTTTATTCCTTCTTCGTGACTTGCAGACATGCCATCACAGTGGGGTCAGAGATAGTTTCATGCGGGCACGTAGAAGATACGAGAGGAGAAATACCGACACTTGAACCAAAACAGAGTAAAAATTTTTGCTATTTTATTCCTTCTTCGTGACTTGCAGACATGCCATCACAGTGGGGTCAGAGATAGTTTCATGCGGGCACGTAGAAGATACGAGAGGAGAAATACCGACACTTGAACCAAAACAGAGTAAAAATTTTTGCTATTTTATTCCTTCTTCGTGACTTGCAGACATGCCATCACAGTGGGGTCAGAGATAGTTTCATGCGGGCACGTAGAAGATACGAGAGGAGAAATACCGACACTTGAACCAAAACAGAGTAAAAATTTTTGCTATTTTATTCCTTCTTCGTGACTTGCAGACATGCCATCACACTAGGGTCGGAGATAGTTTCATGCGGGCACGTAGAAGGTAAGAGAGGAGAAATACCGACACTTGAACCAAAACAGAGTAAAAATTTTTGCTATTTTATTCCTTCTTCGTGACTTGCAGACATGCCATCACAGTGGGGTCAGAGATAGTTTCATGCGGGCACGTAGAAGATACGAGAGGAGAAATACCGACACTTGAACCAAAACAGAGTAAAAAATTTTGCTATTTTATTCCTTCTTCGTGACTTGCAGACATGCCATCACACTGGGGTCGGAGATAGTTTCATGCGGGCACGTAGAAGATACGAGAGGAGAAATACCGACACTTGAACCAAAACAGAGTAAAAATTTTTGCTATTTTATTCCTTCTTCGTGACTTGCAGACATGCCATCACAGTGGGGTCAGAGATAGTTTCATGCGGGCACGTAGAAGATACGAGGGGAGAAATACCGACACTTGAACCAAAACAGAGTAAAAATTTTTGCTATTTTATTCCTTCTTCGTGACTTGCAGACATGCCATCACAGTGGGGTCAGAGATAGTTTCATGCGGGCACGTAGAAGATACGAGAGGAGAAATACCGACACTTGAACCAAAACAGAGTAAAAATTTTTGCTATTTTATTCCTTCTTCGTGACTTGCAGACATGCCATCACAGTGGGGTCAGAGATAGTTTCATGCGGGCACGTAGAAGATACGAGAGGAGAAATACCGACACTTGAACCAAAACAGAGTAAAAATTTTTGCTATTTTATTCCTTCTTCGTGACTTGCAGACATGCCATCACACTAGGGTCGGAGATAGTTTCATGCGGGCACGTAGAAGGTACGAGAGGAGAAATACCGACACTTGAACCAAAACAGAGTAAAAATTTTTGCTATTTTATTCCTTCTTCGTGACTTGCAGACATGCCATCACAGTGGGGTCAGAGATAGTTTCATGCGGGCACGTAGAAGATACGAGAGGAGAAATACCGACACTTGAACCAAAACAGAGTAAAAAATTTTGCTATTTTATTCCTTCTTCGTGACTTGCAGACATGCCATCACACTGGGGTCGGAGATAGTTTCATGCGGGCACGTAGAAGATACGAGAGGAGAAATGCCGACACT